AAGAGCACCATTTGTCTCCAGAACACATGACTCAACACAAACATCTGCTAGTTAAGTGTTTTGCAAGATTAAATATATGAATAAAAATTAATTGTAAGCTTCTATTAAAAATACTATTTCATGTGAAATTGTTTAATATATATATATATATATATATTTATTTTTTTTCTATGTGCATTTTACGTCCATGCAGTAAGAAATTTTATCATAACTTGAAAAAAATATTTTAACAAAATCACAAAACTAGCCATGACACAATGTGAATTTAAAATATAAATGTATACATTTATATACTGTATAAGCAATATAAAAGCATAGGCTACATTTTAATTAAAACAGGACATTTTTGAGTTCCCACCAACTCTTATGTTCCTCAAAATAATAACAAACTGTCATTATAAGTGACCAAATGAAGCTAAACTGACATTATTTTAATCCCATTTGACATTCATAATTTGTTTATTTTCCTTTCCTTACATTCATTAAATATCACATATCTATGGAAGCCAGTTTTGCCATTAAATAAATTAGGTAATTTTGACTATTTATCTAACAATTTTGTCTTTTTTCCCCACCATGGAATAAAAAATAAAAAAGGTAAACAATTCTGAATTTTGTTTTCACAATTGCAAGTTTATTTCTCAGAATTTGGAATTTTCTTCTCATAAGTATGAGTTTAAATCATGCAGTTCTGAGTTTATATGTAATTGTATGGTGGACGAGAAGTGCAGAACAAATCACAATTCTGAAAACAAAATAACAAATTACAAACGCAAATGCAAGTCTAAAAAACAAAATAACAATTCAGAAAACACAACAACAATTCAGAAAACATTATAACAAGTCAGAAAACACAATGACAAATTCGAAAACAAAATAACAAGTCAGAAAACACAATGACAATTCAGACAAACCGGAAGAGGTAGGTATAGTTTGAGACAGTGCCATTGGTTTGGGATTACTCACCGCTGACTGGACGAGACATCTGTCAATCAACGTATACAGGAAGAACCAGACGAAGAACAGCAGAGTCGTGGGTGTCTATTTACATTTAGTTAAAAGTGGCTGTAAATCATCAGCTCCAGTGGTGCAGACGGATAAGCACGTGTTTTTTACGTGATCGACCCGGGTTCGATCCCGCCTTTTGCCGAGTTTTTTCCCCCTCCCTTAAATCTCATATTAGCAATGGATTCTATTTACACTAAGTGAAAATAGCAGTATTTTTAGCAATATGCTATTTACATTAAGTGCAAATACCTAGTTACACTATGTTAAAATAGCAGGATTTCTACTATCAAGTATACTACTTGTTGCAAATAGTGCCAATTATCTGCACTTCAGTATTGTAGTAAATTATAAAACAATATGCAATAATAATGTATTGAGTGTAAATTATAATTTTAATTATTAAATG